TCCCCTAGCGTAATTCTACAGTAAGATCGTACTATGGCTATGGCTATGATTTTGAACATCCCAATGGGCAACATTGTCACAATCCAGAAAATTCAAGCTATTAGTTGGGCTTCTTATGACCCTTTAAAAATATAATCTCAATCACACAAAATCAAAATCGTTTCAAAAATTACGACATCTTGCAGGGACAAATTTCTACTCGAATAATACACGATGTGCCGTTAGAAGTTACTCAGAACATTTTTACTTTAAAAACAGTCGAATATCAAACAATCCAATACAACGGCACTATCATGCCTTTTGAGGCTAAATTTTTCTTCGCTATCTTAACGATTATCCATTGGATATTACGAAAACGTTGATGCTGTCGTACTAAACTGAACTGCTCTGTCGTATTGAATAATGTGTGTATATGTTTTGCACAACATGATTTAAATACATAAAAATTTAATTAGCACAAGAAATACCAATCAGCCTTTCGGAATTTGCCGAAAATCCTAACTGGTCAATGTGGTAAAGTTCTTTTACATCACATTATATTTCCTTTGCACATTTCCCACCATCTTATGCACTTTTTGCATCAACATCTTACTAAAGATATTGCATTGAGATTGTATGCTGGCTAAATTCTCAAGCAGGTTCAAAAAAAATCGGAGAGCATGACGTCCGCATGCGTGCCTTTCCAATGCTAGCCTAGTGCATGGTGATTTTTCGAAATAAGCATATAACAAAGTCTATGTGCAACCTGTTGCATCACATCCATACCGTTAACGAAAATTAAGTAGATCTAAGGGCACCATTTGCCGTCCTTTATGCGTAGACTATGCTTGCTTACTACAACTCATTGCAATCGTTCCGCTTTTTTCAACGACTTATTTGTTTCAACAAATCCGTGAAAACTCATTCTTAAAACATGAACTGTTTTCTTGAAAAAATCCTGAACCAACGCCAACAGAGGACTACCTACCCATATAAAATAACTGACCGGTTTCAAAACATAAATGTGCGAAGTTGGTTTTCGAACATGTATTTCCGAACATTATTTGCTTTTAACCTTAGAAGGTTAAAAGCAAATAATGTTCGGAAATACATGTTCGACATTATAGTTTATGTATATGTATTTAATTGTTTATAAATGCGAATACCACTGTGAGAATTACTGATACTGTAAACAATATTGTTAAACACTCTTTGCACACCGGAATCACAGTTCGATTGTACACCGGATTCACAGTTCGATTGTACACCGGATTCACAGTTCGATTGTACACCGGATTCACAGTTCGATCACGATCTTTGACACGAAGCTAAAACATATAATCCAATATATTGCCATTCCAAGTAATCTGAGCAAAACTTACATAAGGTGAAAGGAAACAAAATCCGCTTGCATCAGCGGTACTCGTCCTAACACAATATTGCGGAATTTTTTTACCAAAAAGCTCTTTGTCAGAACATGAACCTTGGCAGATTTCACCCTTTTCATGCTGTGAACCATCCAATTTCGTTTCACCTAGATGAAAAGATATAGAAAAAACAAGCAATTTTCTAAATTGTAATTATAGATAGCTACATACCAATATAGCAACAGACTTTCCACCAGGGGTCGCAGTATGCACCCGCATTACAATCAGAAAATGTATAGCACTTTCTCCTAGTACAATAAGCGTTCACATTCTGGCCTAAAAAAGGAGAATCTGCATTAAACAAATTCTACAAAAGTTGATTTATCATGATATTATTATAACAATTTAGAAACTCCCAATGACTTTCAGGTTCATGATAACTTGCATATCTTAGATTTAGAGCTTAAGCATAATCGAAATGACTCCTCTCATAGCATGTCTTTCAGCACCTAACACAATTGATAATAACCCAATCGAGACTAGAAAGACTCTTCGGAAACCTCTTAGTCGCATGTAATTTCTAAGCTGAAAATTTAAAATACTGATTAGATGTATAGGCTGATAGGCCAACAAATCGATTACTGATATTAACCATTA